AACTCCTTCACAGCCAGTCACTTTGATTAGAAAAATATTTATACGGAACATAAATGAGATAAATAGCTAGCGCTAAACACAAAACAGAAATTCCATGAATACACTGTACATAAAAAAAATACACAGTAAGTAAATGTATAGAATTTTCATATTTAGTTCATTCAGTCATTATTTACAAAAATGTTAAGGTGGTTTAAATTGTTCTGGATATTATGTGATATCCCCTATCCTGCCGTGGTTCAATTCTAGTCAGAAATATTAGCATAGAAGTAGATATACAATTTTTTCCCCCCTCATAAAATAGGTGTGAAAAAAACAGATGAATAAAAATAGTCTAATTACTCTGCTTATGTGTATTTGTTAAGATCCAAAAAGCATTTTTAGGAATGTGAAATGCTGGACCTTATCTGCATTCTTGAGCATTTTAACTGGATGACTCCATATTCTTTGGTGGTGAACATCCCACCTATGCTGTTTAGGATTGAGCAATAGTTTTTTGCTCTTTCTTTGTGAGTATATCTCCTTTTATTTATTTATTATTTTAACATCACAGAGAGCACTATTTTTTTCTTAATGTTTTTTTCTTATATTACTGGAGCACTATCTACTGGCATACCAGAATCATCGAATGTGAGCACTGCTATTACTGCTGCTGACAACGCTAACCACTGGCCTAAAGACACCTCTTCATATAGGACCAGGACCATCTACTTATCCACAGACGGGGATTGTAGCCGCTATAGAAATCATTAAATATCCCCAGTACTGCATTGTTAATTTTGATGGCGAATTTCAATTTAGTTTTAGTCATAGTCTTTTGACTAGAAGCCATTTTAGTTTTAGCCTTATTTTAGTCATCTGAATTGTTTTAGTTTTAGTTTAGGTCGACTAAATCCCCCAAATTTCCGTCAACTAAATCTGACAAAAATTGTTTAGTCAACAAAATGACCACCACTGTACTGTTCTCGGTGTCCTTATAGCCATCTTTCATTGAGCAATGCAAACTGAATGTAAAACTGTGTAATATATATTTCTGAGATCAAATCAAAGTTACTTAACCCCACCAATACAGCTAAAGAATAGAAATTAAAGTACAAGTAATAATACAAAAGTTAGAAGCATAATTGAAATTTAATACAGGCAAGGTCCCTTTAACCCCTTAGTGACCAGACC